GGTTCAAGTCAAGTGTGGCACAATGAAGGGTGTGTTAGATAGAGCATGCGTTCATGTTTCAGGCTTCCACTGTCCAACCAAGTAGCCACTCGCACACGGAGCTATCTATATTCAAGTAGATTAAAGAAAATAAGCTAGAGAGAAAAAAACAACAATATCACAAAACCCTTCATTTGCACCAGTGACATTTCAGGTGTCCCACGAGGCTGGTGGCTACCATACCGAATAATGCTGATGCAGAATTTTTCTTTTTCTTGGAGAGGTTTTTGCTACAGAGCGCGTACGCTCTCCAGAAAGACAGAGAAAGACAGAGAGATAGAAATCAAGAAATCACCCCCCAAAGGGGGATGGCCAAGCCATAATACTTTGTCCTTCATTCTCCTCCCGGGATCTTGGGCACACATGCCTGGCATGAGTTTAAGCCACCAGGTCCAGGACTCGAACCGCCGTCAGCCACATGGGAGTCCAGTGACATAGCCATTAGCTAACTGCTGGTCCCAATGCAGAATTTTTCTATCACTGCAGAGTTCCATAGGACAGCTCTACTCTATAGAGTGTTGATTGATGAAATAAATAATTTTATTGTTGCAGTAGAGTAGAAAGAATGCTGGCTTTGGAACCCAATAGACCTAGATTTGAATTCACTTACTACACTTGTGACTCTTGAGCAAGTTTCTTTCATTTTTTTTTTTTTTTAGAAAGATCATGCCATAGGGCACATGCACTCGCTGGAGAGACAGACAGAGAGACAGAGAGTGAGAAATCACCCCTCGGGGGAGAAGCTATGCTGCAATTCCTTCTCCCCCACTCTCCTGGGATTTTGGGAACATACGTGCACATGCCCGGTGTGAGTTCCAAGCCGCTGGGCCTGGGACTCAAACTGCAGTCAATTATGTGGGAGTCCAGCCATCTGCAACTTCCCTATTCTTCACTGCATCCCCACTATGGTTTCACAGCTGCCAAAAGGCCCTTGCACTGAATAAAAATATACTGCTTTTAGAAGATTCAAGTGAATCACTGTCCTAGTCTGTTTTTTTGTGTTGCTAATGGAAATACCTGAGCACTGATGATTCTATAAAGAAGACAAAATTCATTTACAAATTCGTGACTCTGGTGGTAGAAAAAGTCCAAAGTTTTAGGCCTCCAGCATGGTTGACACACACAAAAATGGCAGGCAAACGGAGAGAGAGCTCCTGACTGATCTCTCTTTTGTAAAACCAGTTCTCGTGAGCACTAACCACTTTTCATGAGAGCTGGAACTCACTGGGTCTTGAGAGGCTTCATTAATCTATTCATGAGACCGCTGCCTCCCTGACACAATCACGACGAACCAATTGCTGCCCATGAGGTCTTACCCTGGGACACTAGGAAGGAATTAAGTTTTCATTTAGAAACTTTTCAATCAAGCCTCAACATAGGAATTTAGGGGACATATTCAAGTCATAGCAATCACCAAATCTACTAGGTTTAATATAAGCATTTTCCTTTTTTCTTGGGGAGATGGATAGGCACTTTGCATAAGTAAAGAAAAACTAAAACGAATGACTTGGAACTGGAAAAAGCCGCAGTTCAGTGTTCTAGTACATTAACACTAAAAACTGATTTCAATGGAAGAAGTCGGACATGAAGGTGTAATTTGAGTTAAATGGGTCAGGTGTCTTGGTAATATTGCCCACAAGAGAACAACAGAAGAGCACTTACAGAATCAGGTATAATTACCTGTATGCATAATCAGATATTAGCTTTTTATTTAAAGAGCAAATCCCTAAACAACTCAATAGCTTGCTGACCTGACAAGACTATTTTCTATTTATAAGACTAGGTAACAAAACACACACTCGAGAGAGGCTTAACACTTACAAGATCACTTTATGCTGTCTTGTAATTTCTGATACTGCTATTCTTTTACTTTCATCAATGAGATGACCTGGTTAAGTGAGTTTTCCGTTAAACTAAGGAAACCTTTGTTTTAACCCCTTGCTTTCTAACGATAAAGTGCATTAGTTCATTTTCTTCCCAAGAGTATTCTAATGAAAATAATACTCCTGATGACTTAAGATCTCAGTACAACAAATTAATCTATGATATTATGGTATGGGTAAGGTTCTAGAAAACTGACAGTTTTATGATAAGCCCAAGCTATAGATATCTGCTAGACTTTCATAAAATAAAATCCTATGTTAGCTTATTTTCTTATAACTTGTATTCATTTCTCCCACAAATAAACTACAGATCCTTTCAGATAATTGAGCATCTGATTAGTCAGGCTGTAGTCGCTCATGGTTCAATTATACTTGTATTATGTCATGCTTTCAATTTCATAAGACTCTTTACTTGTGAAATACATACAGTATGATTCATTCACTCCAGGCTTATGCTGAATGGTAATTTGGTCCAGAGATCTCTTGGTAGTTTTCTTTACTGACTACTTTTTTTTTCTAAAGAATTATTTATTTATTATTATTATTAATATTATTTTTCACATGAGTTTTGCCAGAGAAAGTCAGAGAGAGAGAAAGAGAGAAAGAGAGAAAGAGAGAGAGAGAGAGAGAGAGAGAAAGAGAGA